TACTTGTATAGGCACGACCAGGTGTGCAAATATGTGCACTGGTGTGTCTCAAAGCAAGCCGGCCTAGAAGTCCCAGAGAAGTGGTACGAACACCAGCCAGAGTCTGTTGTGGAGAACGCCTCCACCAAGATACCATGGGACATGCCTATAATTACAGACCGCAGTATAGGCTGCAATAGACCGGACCTTACGATCTATAAGGAGAAGGAGACCGCCCTCCTCGTAGATGTAAGCATCCCAGCCGATAACAACCTCCAAGAGGAGACCAGGGGCCTTTTTCACGAAACTTCTTTAACTTTTCTTTAACTTTATTTCGGCTATATTTCGATTTTATCCCGACTCAAAATAAAGAGAAAATAAAGACACCTTTGGAGGTCTCTCCATCTCGACTTTAACCTCTCAGAGGACTACGGAAACTCACCTGTGTGTATTCTTATTAACGTGCCCCATGCGTTGCATAAGCATTCTTTCTGCCACCTGTGACTGAAATCCGTGTGAACACGACCATGGCTGCAAGGCTTCATCTAATTCGAAGGCAGCTTCGTCGGGAAAGAGTACTCTGCGACCGAAACAGCCCCTGGGAAGAGTACGACGATGAAGGACTCAGGAGCAGATTCAGACTCTCACAGTCACAAGTGGTAGAAAGAATGCACATGCAACGCTTGGGGCATGTTATTAAGAATACTCATAGGTGAGTTTCCATAGCCCTCAGAGAGGTTAAAGTCGAGATAGAGAGACCTCCAAAGGTGTCTTTATTTTTTCTTTATTTTGAGCCGGGATAAAGTCGAAATATAGCCGAAATAAAGTTAAAGAAGAAATAAAGTCGGAATAAAGTCGAAATATAGCCGAAATAGAGTTAAAGAAGTTTTGTGAAAAGGGCCCCAGGGAGAAGCTGGAGAAATACTCCGAACTGAAAGTGGAACAGTTGTGCGGAATGAAGACCACCATAGTTCCGATCATCATAGGCACAACTGGTATCCCCCCCTCATATCTCCAATACCGGCAGGTGCCGTGGAAGGATTTATTTCTATATATAAATATATATGTATATAAATAAAATATGTAAAAAAAAATAATAAAAATATATATATTACTCTGAAAGTAATAATTTTGGTACTTTCTAGGGAACGGTCCCCCCTTTCCTACTCTGCAAAATACTATAATCCTCCTATCCTCCCCAGGAGAGAGATGAGGAAAGGAGGAGATAAAAGTCAAAGCCAATGTACGAGATCGAGTTTTTTTAGAAACTCCTAACAGAAAATCACACACATGCATGCAAGGGGTTCTCATTGGGAGGATGAGCTTGCTTATCGCCTGGGCTTCATGTTCTGTCTCGAATATGGGGATACATGATTAAGTGTCAATTTTATTGATGATATAGTGAGACTAGGAAAAACAATATGGTGAGGTACTAAACACTCCTGCGAGGGATAATTCCATGGAAAGAGGGAAGTGAACTTTTGTGTACTGCGCGAAAAGCGAGACACACCTCCATCTAGTGGTCAAGAGGAGAACTTCAAGATTTCCAAGAAAAATAACTTCCCCGTGTAACTTGGGCATATTGGATGGACGATGGAATGGCAATATTGGGAAGCCAATATTTTCCCAGTATTGGCAAAAATGGCAAGATGGATAGACATCGTGCCCAATGTTGGTCCGGCATTGAGCCAATATCTGGTGTTACTGGGTGGTAACACTGGCTAGGTTCTTGGTAGTTTCTTGAAAAAAAAAAAAAACTTGTATTCCCTATTTGGCGATGCATGCTCCATGATACTACCAAAAATATTATTCAAATATGCGACTTAAGAAAGTATCATAGTGCCATAACACTGCTATAATATTC